GCTCCCGCCGCAGTCGAGGCGGAGCCGCCCCGCCCGGCGGAGCCCGCCGCTGTCAGCTCGCCGGGCGGAAGGTGTTGCGTGTTGGGGTGGTCGTCCCGGGGCTCCGACGGTGCGGGTCTGGGCTTTTGAATGATGCGGGGTGATGGCTCGAGGGGTTTCGAGACCACATCGAGGGGTCCCGCGTTTCCCCCAGCCTTGGCAACGTCCGGTGGTCCCAGCCTGGGGTAAGGGAAGGACGGACTGGGAAGTTGTGGCGTTTAAGTGGGTGATGATGGGAAGCGACACCGGACGGGGTTTTCACTCCTCCGTGTCCTTAAGGTCTAAGGTCTCGCGGGCCAGTTTTGGGTGACCTCTGGATGGGACAGTACTCGGCGTTGATTATAGTGATCATTCTGTCCTGAGTTCATTTTAGTCACTAAGCATTGACAGTAACATTGGGCCTTCACCTGTCCGTGCTTACTGGACACAGAAAACTTTATTTTTTTCTGTTGACCCAAGTTTCCAAGGGTTAACCTTTAAAAAGCGAATCCTATCTACATTAACTATCATGACAACCGTTTATCTAATTTTACCCAGGTGACAGCATACACTCACTTCTGTTGAATCATGGATTCTCCCTTAAAAAAATAAAGTGATCCATAAGGGCTGAAAAGAGGGATTGTGAAATAATACTGTGCTTTCCCATGATTGACATCATCTTGAGCAGCAATCTTTTGTGTTGCAAGCTCTTCCTCTTTTAACTAGAAGCTTGCCACAAATTTAGAGTAATTTTGTATTCCTAAAGCTGTAATGCAGGATGTGAGCAGAACATATACCATGATCCATGTTTGTCTGCAATCCCCTTTTGTACAAAAATAGGTATTACCCTGGAGTGTACGCAGTCATGCACCTTGCATGTAGAATTTTAGATTACTGCAAGAGAATTTTGAACACTAATCATTTAGCAAGCAAAGTAACGTCTTCAGGCCTGGCGTGATTTGTTGAGCTCCTTAGTTATGTTTTTTAACTATATGGGTGGAGGGAGAGTGAATCTGCCCATGATTATATTAATACTGAAAAGATTTTAAAAATAGGTACTATGGACCAGAGTGTTTAATTTTTTTTTTCTTGTAAGACAAGCTGCTTAAGAGTGCTGTTATTTATTGATTTCTGGTGACTTCATGTTCCATACTTTCATTGGCCAAATCTTAGTACAAAAGTATTAGATTTTGAGCAGTAGAATTTATTAACAATTCATGCTAACTGTACTAATAGTACTGTAGATTCGTGGATTTTCTAATTTTTTAAATGACATTTCTTGCCATAGGTTCTAGATAGGAATATGATTTATTTTTGAAAGTGTAAACTAATGGAAACTTGGAGACTTGATTTAGATTATTAAACTGCTAAAGCCTCTGATCGTTTATTGGCAGTCTTCCCAGTGGATCCACCTATGGGTATATAGGATTCCCTTTTTATCCATAGGTGAATCCACTGAGAATACTGCCAATAAATATTGCCTACGCATTATATATTATATATAATATCTCTCTCTCTCTATATATATATACACACACACACACATACTTGTGTGTGTGTGTGTAGTGTGGAGGTCCTGGGGCCTGGGCTCTCTCTCCTTTACCTTGGCTAGTGCTGTACCACTTGAGCCGCATCTCCTCTTACTGCTTTTTTGGTAGTTTAGTGGAGATAAACATTGAACAGCAGTCCTCAGATCTCACCCTGCTGAGTAGCTAGGATTACAGGCCTGTGCTACTGGCTCCTGGCTGCCATCTGATTATGCATTGGTGAACAAATAGCAAACACTTTGAAATAAATGATACCAAAACTGGAATGAAATATTTTTAAAGTTGAATACACCATGCATGAAAATGACATCTTCCCTGTATTGTGTTAGCCTAGAAGGCATTTTTAATTCATGCAACAGAGTAATGTCAAATGGTATCACACTCTATTTTCAAAGTAGTCAACTTTTTGAGAAGCATGAAAGTCTGTAACAGGTATAGTTAATTAAAACTATTTCATTAGTAAAAGACCTATCCAAATATGGTTGCTTCAAGGTTCCTGGAGTTAATTTCAATTTAAAATATATTTTTCCTTTATCATATATATATATATATATATATTTCTGAGGGGGGGAGGAAGTACAGTGTTCTATTTGGGGAATTATTCTGAATATCTTATTTATAGTGGATAACAGGATGAGAACAACTTACTCAGATTTAAATAAATATAATTTCTAATAGCTAAATCTATATAGCCAAATCTAATAGCTAACCTGTGACTTTTTGTAAGCTACTTAAGAAATATTTTGTTATTTTTACATATTTTATTTTTATGATCATATAAATTAGATTTAAATTTGAATAAGACTCTTCAAAGCCTATAACTTAAGTAGTTGTGTCTTCCCCAGCCTCTTCTGAAACAATCTCCTTGGAGCAACCATCAGAGCAGTGGCTGGGGCACTGGAAGCATGTCCTGGGGAGCAATGCATGGGAGAGACCACCGTAGAACTGGAAACATGGGAATTCCAGGGACTATGAATCAGATATCTCCACTGAAGAAACCATTTTCTGGTAATGTCATAGCACCACCGAAATTTACACGCTCTACTCCATCACTGACTCCAAAATCTTGGATTGAAGATAATGTGTTCAGAACAGACAACAATAGTAATACACTCTTACCCTTACAGGTAAGAATGGTATGTATGTAAATGGCCTTATTTATAATATTAATCTTTTAAAATAAGTTGGGTGGTGGTGGCTTTGATAATAGAATAGAGAAATTATTAAATTTAAAAAGATTTTAGTTTTTAAGCATATAATTTAATTTTCAAAGAGGACAATAATACACAGTAAGTTTAGAATGTAAAGTATTTAAACCAACTATGGAAAACCTTTAGAAAACCTTTTTGTGTTTCTTAAATATATGTTGAAATTTTAAATTGGCAGCTCCTTAATAATGTCTAAATTTGGTCACCTCTGATGGATTGCCAAAATTTTGTTTTTCCTATAATACATAAGCTAAGCTAAAATGTTCCATAACTTATTATTCATAGATATCCCTGTGACCAGCTTTCTAAATATTAGTATGCTTAGTATAACTATGATGTGGCAGCTTTATCTTCACTGGTTCAGTGACTTTTTTCTAAATATGGCTTTATAGTCAGGGTGATTGGACCATTTGTTCAGGCCTGTTAGTATTTTGTTGAATATTTTATTGAAGCTCTCTTAGGGCTGTTTCAAATGAGATTTTTATTCTCTCCCAAACCATTAGAGGGTGGAACAAAGATTTAAGATACATATAAAGCACTTTGATTATTGGTGTTTTGATTTCTTTGGTTTTGGGTTTTTTTCTGGTGGGTATGGGGAAGAGAACTGCTCATTTCTGATGAAAACTTCTATGCTATTGAAGGTGAGATCTAGTTTGCAGTTGCCAGCTTGGGGCTCAGATTCCCTCCAAGATAGTTGGTGTACTGCAGCCGGAACATCCAGAATAGACCAGGTAGGCTGCACAGTGTGTATTCTTCAGGATTTGGGCTAGCAGTGTAGTATTTACATTATTAGTTGGATGTATCTTATACTACTTTTTAATTATATCTATTTAAGCATCTGTTGGAAGGCAATGAAGCAAATTAATTTTTAAACATCACTTAATGAAACTATTATATTCATTTTCAAATCTAAAAGATTTGTATTCATTTTATACTTTTGAAGCATAATTCATTTTTTTTGGAAAAAGGAATTCTATACCTAAGAGCACCTGACTTTAAACATCAGACTGAACACACTTTGTCGCCTCTCAGATTATTTTAAGTAAAAAGTATGTATTAACATTTAGCTTTACATTTCATGTTGTAAAAAACTGTCCAGTAAATTTTTGTCATGAATCTCCTACATTTGTCTTGAGATATATTTCTGAAAAGACTCTCTTATTTCATTTTTTTCACATGTATAAAAAAAGTGTATGTTACAGTATTTATTCTAAATTTCATTGTTGCTCTTACACCCTTTAATTTACCCTCAAGCCCTTGTGGTTAAAAAGTGCTGTTTTCCTGCAGACTGAATCTGAATGTATGCATACTAGGTATACTAGGATTAAAATAGAACAATATGAAGATTCTTCCTTAAGTTCAGTTGAGCTTAGACTGGACATTAAGTATTGTCACAGTTAAGGTTCTTCCTTAACATAAGATGATTGTATAAGTTTGTAGGCAGTTTAATACATAGTACATTTGTACTGGCATTCTAGTCTAACAGCTTAGTCTTCAGTAATTGACCATTCGTGGTTGCTTTAGACAAATCCTACCTACTTACCAGAGTTGTGCTGCCAGGATCTTTACTTTGAAATTGTGATTATCTCTAGTGATTTGTAGTTTGTCATCTTATTTAATAAGTAAGTTTGCTTTCCATCTCTTTCTACTCTCTTTTTCTCTCTAGTCCTATTTGATTTTGGTTTTTGTTGGCACTTGGGATTTAAACTCTGAACTTCATGCTTGCTAGGTAGGTGCTCTACTGCTTAAGCCATACCTCCCACCCCATTTTGTTCTGATTATTTTTGAGATCTGACCTTGAGTTTGTTTTGGTTTGGTTTGGTTTTGATTTCTTTCACTCATATGGGCATAGACAGTAATCCTCTACTTTATACTTCCTGCCAATAGGCTGTCACTGAGATGACAGGCACACACCACCACACCCAAATTTTTCTGTTAAGATGGGGTCTTGTATTTGCCCTTAACTTTAAATCCATTAATGGATTTCATAGCTTAAAGATAGACTTTTGGCTAACTGCTAAGATATTGAAATTAATTATAGCCTCTTGGGCAAAGACATGATGTTAATGAAGTTGAATTCAGCCATAGAACACAAAGGATAACAGAAACTTATCTGGAAGGAGAGGAGATCAAAACTTAGATCTTCTTCCTCTTCCTCTCAGGATCTTTTTTGACATTGAAGGCCATACATAGTTTATTGCCTTTCTTCTCTCTAGGTCATAGATTTCTTATCTATAACAGAGAGACATTGAACTAGGTCATATAAGGCCCTGGCTGTCAGTGTTCTCATTTTGGCCCCACCCCTGGCCTTTATTTTTAACATATAAGGGGATTGGGTTCTTGGCAGGGAAGATTATAAAGGTATTGGTTTAAGGCAGTGGAGGGTACTGTAGGATCTTTCTCCTCTTAAAAGCGAACTGATTATCTGCTTTAAGTATTCTCTCATTATTCTACATAATTTCTTCTGTGTTTCCTTCCATCTTTCCATAAAAGGTTGAAGTATTTGAAGTTGAAGCTCTTAAAAGTATAAGAGCGTCTCTAAACTAGCATTTGTATTTTAAAATGTTAGTAGTTACTTATGTTTAGCAAAATTAAAATATAACCACTTACATATCTGGAGAGACTATTCTCATTCTCATCTTTTACTGTCAATATATTTTAATTTTTGTTGTGCAGTTTATTACTTTAAAACATGTAACTTTTTATTTCCTTTAGTCTCAAGCTATTAAGTCTTAAGCATAATAAATTAGAGACCTGAACTCATTATTCTTATACCGACCTTATGCATAAAGAGGCCTAAAACATGTAAAGGAATTCAGTAAATAGAATTACTTTTATAAGTTGATTTTGTGTGTTGTAAGTAAACTTTTTATAGGTTAGCAATTGTTATTTTAAGTTTGATTTTAAAATAATGCTTCAGATTTAAAACTTAAAAAGCAAATTAAACTTTTATGCACATTTGTGAAGCCAGGAGTGGGCGGAGGGGAGGGGGTTTGCACATCTGTAATCCCATATAATCCCAGCTATTTGGAAGGTAGAGACAAGAATAATGTAATTCCAAGGCAGCTAACCACAGTTAGCTTGAGACTCTATCTGAAAAACAAAAAAATCCCTGAAGTTCTGGGGATCTGGCTTAAGAATACAAGGCACTAAATTCAGTCTCTAGTATGAAGAATAAAAACCCGATTCTAATATCTTTTAGATTAAATTTTTTTTTTAAACAGAGTCTTAGTCATAGCCTAGGTTAGTCTTGAACTTGCAGTCCTACCTACTGCCTATCTCCCAACCGCTGGAATTATAGGCATGAGTCATCGTGCCTGGCCAAAATTTCTGTACTGCAAAACATTATCTGCTAGTTATCTTTGCAAGAAATAATAACGAAAAATGTGTTATCTAAATTATCTTAAATAGAATTTTCAGTTATATGCTAAGATTGCAATATGTTTATTCATCAATACTTGAGTATTTTAAATCAAAGTAAATGCTTTTTTTGGGGGGGGGGGGTCCGGTTGTGGGCCTGAACTCAGGGCCTGGGCGCTGTCCCTCAGCTCTTCAGCTCAAGGCTAGTGCTCTACCACTTGAGCCACAGTGCCACTTCTGGCTTTTTTCTTTTTGCTTATGTGGTGCCGAGGAATCGAACCCAGGGCCTCATGCATGCAAAGCAAGTGCTCTACCACTGAGCCACCTTTCCAGCCCCAAAGTAAATGCTTTTTTAACTGAAGGTTTATTTCCTAGCTTTGAGAACATCAATTAACTTAAGCAAAGCAACATCTTGCAACAGTAAGGTAGCCTTTAAAGCCTGCAAATGTGTATTAGTAATCCTAAACCCTAGCTGAGGAATAATCAATATAGTCAACTCTAGAATTTTGTTTTGCATCACATGAATTATCCACCAATCTTCAGCCAAGCTGTTATAATGTTGTGAGGAATAAAATTTGGAGATCTAAGAATAATATATTGGAATCTTTTTTTTTTTTACTTTACATGAAAAGCAGTATGTAGTAACAAGACCAGAACAGGGTTTAATGTAATGAAAGCATTCCTTCATTTCTGCTTCTCAAACCATGTGAGCTTTGGGGACAGAAGTACTCATTACACTTGAACACTGAAAAAAAGCAAAAAAAAAAAAGGACTCAAGTAGATCTTGGGTAATACATACTTTATGTGTTTCCTATTCTAGTTTCAATTCTTTAGTTTTACTTGAAAATTTTTCTCTTTCCATTTTGTTTAGTTCTTGTAGGTACTAGCATAACTTTGGTAGATTATGGCCTTCAATTAAAAAAATAACTTACATCAGAGTATTTTGTTGAAATTTAGAATAAAGGAAGTTTAAGCAGTGTGTATCGCATGTTCATTATTGTTTTAGTTACAGTTGAGATCTGTGGAGGCAAAACAGAGAATATAAGAGTCCAGTTGGATAAATAAGGGGTTTGTGTTGAACAAGAGCATAATATAAGTGCTTACAAGTTTTCATGGTAAAGCAGACCAGCATGTCATCTGCCACTGAGATTGTATGATACAATAATACTGTATAATCAGAATGTATAATCAGTGAGGGCAGTATTAGCACAACTTTGCCTTTATATGTGTAAGTAAAATTAGAGAACAAAGCACATGTTGAAAGTAATGTGCCTATCTTATCTTTGTTTCGAACTTAACCTTATACCAGTGTATGTGTTCAAGCATCTGGTTTATCCTTACTGGGAGGATAAGGATATAGGACTTCTATAATCCTGCTGATTCTTTTGGGGAATACTTCATTGTTAAGAGTAGAAGCTTCTACTTGTTTACCTGTGAAATAGAGCAAGATTTTGAATATGTCAAAGCAAGAAAAGTAATATCTCATCAAAAATCTTCTTTCTCAAGGTGTATTTTACAATATTAAGCTAACACTGTACATGGTCTTCCATAGTCCATAGTTGAATTTTGGTATTTATAATCCTTTAGGTCATATGTAAAATGAGGATTACTTGGTTCTCTTCTGTGTTTTTCAGCCCTTTCAAGACTGTTGAAGTTCCACAAGTGCTTATAGCTAATGTCTAGGTTTAAAGAAAGTGACTATCAGGATATAAAAGGCTGCACTTTTTCTGCCAATGTGCCCTGGTATTCTTTCCTATACTCTCATTTTCTAAAAGCTTACTTGGTGGATTCTTTTTTTTTTTTTTTTGTCAGTTGTGGGGCCTGAACTCTGGGCCTAGACACTGTCCCTTAGCTCTTAAGCTCAAGATTAGTGCTCTACCACTGGAACCACAGTGCCACTTCCAGTTTTTTCTGTTTATGTGGTACTGAGGAATCAAACCCAGAGCCTCATGCATGCAAGGCAAGCACTCTTCCACTGAGCCACTTTCCCAGCCCCTTGGTGGATTCTTTTTCAGATTATTTTCATATTTTAAAATAAGTATAAAACTCATCCTCAGTCTTGTTTTTGTGAACTGTCTTGACAGTTTTCAAATAGTCATGTAGTGATAAGTAGAAGTTTCATTGCTATTACTTTCTGCATTAATACAAATCAGGATTGATGGTTACTTTAAAACATGTCTATTTAGTTTATAAGCCAGTGCAATTTTCATGAATACAGATTTTTCTGATATTTTTATTTCAGAAGAAACACACACTGGTTTTATAGCAAAATGTAGTATATTTTAAACCAGTCTTGAAAAGATTGTTCTAAGCTATAACGTGTAGATCCTTTCAAAAGTTGAGGGAAGGTAGAATATAAAATCTTCTACTTCATCCATAAACATTCTTAGAACCTACATGATAAGGTATATTTTGCAAGAGTTTTCAAAATCATATGAGCATTAATTTTTATCATGACAGCTTATATTTTGTAATTTTAAATACATTTTTGAACTTTGAATACAGTAATAGCTCCTTTCTCATTGGGTAGGTGGAAATGAGATTGATAGCAATATTTGATATCTGATACTCATCACAATTTAGTCAATTAACATTGTATTTTTCTAAAATTTTTCATTTGTATGCATTTGTAGGATGAGGAAGTTTTATTGCAATGCAAATCTCTACACTGTGCAGTTTGAACAAATTCGTGTCTACCATTTTGTGATTCCTCTTCTTTCCCCTTCAGGCAGCATTTACTGGGTTTTATTAGGCTGTTTGTGCACGCGCGCGTGCATGCGCCTGCTCCTCAGTCTTCATCACTCTTCAGTATTTTTCTCCCCATCCTGCCCTCTTTTCTCTGGTACCTTCCTAGGTGGTCAGTCATTTTATATTTATGCCCCATTATTGTTACTGTTAGCATCATTTTAAGTCTTTTCTCCACAAATTGAAAACTGAAAAACTTTTGAGAACTCTTATCCAGTCAACATAAAATCTTGGGTTCCATTAATTTTTCTGCAAAAAAATAAGACTTTTTCTTTATGTCCAAATAATAGTTCATGGTGTGCACACATACATATGGTGTGTGTCTGTCTTTTATATTGATTATCTTTTATATTGATTTACTCCCCTTTAGGTAAATGCCCAAGTGGTGTGGCTGAATCATAAGATAGATTTATTTTTAGTTTTTTTGAGGAACCTCCATACTGATTTCCACAGTAGCAATCAGTATAATTCCCATTTTTAAAATATAGTCTTTACCACATAGAACTCAACTGACATGTTTTTACAAAGCTTTTTATGATAGAGATATAGTACTAGACATTTAGGAGACATTTGTGAACTAGCTATGTTCATATTTAGAAGATTCATAGGCTTAAATAACTCAAAAGCTTAGTAGGAAAAATTAACAAATTAGTTTTGGACACTGTATAGTGAAAGAAGGTAGAACTGTTTGGAAAGATGGCCATCTTGTCTATTATATTTTATTTCATTTGTTCTTACATTAGTTTAAATACTTCCTAATATATTTGTTTATATGGACTTCAAACACCATGTAATCAGACATGATTATTTCTATAAAATGGAACTAGAAACTGAAGAAGTTTAGTGCATTGTTTTAACAGTGTGTTCTGTAGGATGACAGCTTCAGTGTCAACTGAAAACACCTTAGAACCACTTTAAACCTACTGTATCAGTTTGTTGATAGTTCCAACCATCTATGTTAGTCAGCCTTTCAGATAATTCAGAAGCATGCACAAGTTTGGAAAGTACTGTTAAACCTTAAGAAGGTCATTGTTCTAGGGAACAGCTGTTATGATTGGATATGCTATTCATCGGGGGTCTTTCCATTTAAAAAAATCAGTAACGGCATTTATCTAGTTAACTGGTGATAAAGCTGGAATAAGAACCTGCTGTCTAGCATTCTTTCCATCATTCAGTGTTACTTTTCACCCTTTTTAATTCTCTGACAGTACCTTGTTTAGTCTACAAAGCTGATTCTGGTCCTTCAGCTTTAAAAAGCTTGCAACCCTAGTTTAAACATCAAAGTAGAGTAAATAAATGAGCCTCTTGTCAAAATGCTTCTTATGTTTTTGTTTAGAGCTCTAAAGAACTGGTTCTGAATATTCTCTAGATCATGGAGTCCCCCTTTGGAAAATGAGTAAAAGGCAAAACGCTTTCTTAAGAAAAAAAATTATGTATGTAATGAGTATAATACTATATCACAGAGATGTCTGGTCTCTCTTGAAGCATGTGGGTGGCTCAGTTAAATAGGTATTTGCTGTTTGTGGGGACTTAATCTCCCCAGCATACATGCTTATTTTTCTGATTCCCCTTTTCTGTTTTCCGTGGTAATCATTTGTTGAGTGTTTAAAATGGTCTATCCTGCCACATGTCATACATTTGTACATTTGGGCACATGGGTGAGTGGGAGATGCACTGGGGGTTTGAGAATATGTCAGGAGACTCAGAAGCAGCTTTCTGTGGTAGTTTCCCAGGTGTATTTTTTCAGAATGTATGTATGTATGTAGAGCAGAATACACTGTAAATTCATGAACCATAAATAATAAAATGCCTTGTAGTAAGCAAGTGAAGACAGTGAGCTTTCAGAAAACAAGACTCTGATAAGACAAAAGATTTTATTCTTAAACTTATATAAGTGAACTGAGAGTATTTTCACTTTTCTTCTACCTTTTTTGGGGGGAGGGGAGAAGATTGCAAAATGGAAAGATCCATATGGGATCATGTTAGACAGTGAGATTTATTGTTATTTTTTCAATGTATAAGGATATTTTTCATGCATTTCTTTAGAGAATGAGATTTAAACACAAATATTGTAGGTCTTTATTTTTGTTTTGATATTAGTAATTCATGTTTCTAATTTTTACCATGTAAACTTCTTATACATTCATTATTACGAAATTCAGATCACTGAGTCAAATAAGTATCTGATAGATGTTTAAAGTGTGGTGCAATTATCTTTATCCCCACTCCCCAGATGTTAATATTCCAAGAGAAATGTATATCTTCCTAGAAATCAGAAAAACTTTAAACGGATAACTAAAAGTACTTTGTATATCCATAACATTCAGGAATCTATATAGAAATGATAAAAAAAATTACTGTACTACATTAATTCTGCCAAAGAAATTTCTTTTTATAAGATACTTTAGAGATAAATGTATTGAAAGTATTATCCTTCAATGAGAGACATTGTAACTTATTGAGATCTTTAGATATTGGCATTTGGAGGGATAAAAATTGGTTAGTAAAGTATTAATCAAGTTCTATTTTATGTAAGAGAATTTAGGTATTTTTAACCATTTTTTTTAACTTCATTGCTTCTTTTCCTTCTCTTCTAGGATCGAAGTAGAATGTATGACAGTTTGAATATGCACTCATTGGAAAATTCCCTTATTGATATTATGAGAGCAGAACATGATCCTCTTAAGGGTATGTAACTTAAAATAAATTTATGCCAATACCAATTTTTCCACTTAGGTTCCCAGTTTGTATGGGTTGACCAGGTAGTATCTGTGGCAATGAATTACAGGTGGTGTATGAAGAACCTTCTTCAAAATTCTTGTTTCATATGTGCATATTCCATATATAAATGAAAAAAGTAATGGTTTTATGTTTTCTAATATAATATATTCTGACTTCCTTTTATATAAATGGAGAAAGTCAACCAAGCTCTGCTAACCTGAAGGGAGATACTAGTTGTCTATTTCCACATAATCAATTACTATAAAAGTTAGCTTAAAACAACCAATACGTACTACCTATACTGTTTCAGTAGGTCAGAAATTTAGCAGCAAAACTAATGGATTGTGGTTCAGAACTTCTCACTGAATCAAAATCATAAATTATTTTGTAAACTTTCTTCATTTTTATTCTATAAAATAAAGTTACTTAAAAATTTCTTAGAAGATTTAGTCTACATATCCTATACCTCTATTGTTGGCAGCTTAGCTGACCAGAATTGAATCATTTTGTTCTGCTTCTGGATTTTGCTTGGAAAAGTTTGTCTTTGTAATCCTTTATTTTAATGAGCTTGGAGTTCAGGGGCTATTTATTAGTGATTGTTGAGGCATGCTAATGATAATTGAATATAAATGAACAAATTCATAGTTTAGGGTGGTTTTGTGTTTATTATCTTTGCTTGCTTGAGGCCTGGCCTCTAATAGTTTTTGTGAGTATATTTGGAGTCTTGTTTTTTTCACTGTTGCAATGGTGTTTGTCTTGAATCTGCTGTTAAAGCCAATTATGTTCTTGCATGTCTGTAATCCCAGCATTTGGGAGGCTGAAGCGGAAGAATCGCAAATTTAGGGACAGCCTGGGCTACATTGTGAGATCATCTGAAAACAAAGAAAAGAAAATTCTCCTCTTTGCTTTACCATCTTCTCTAGAAAGAATACTCTTGGAAATTCTAGGACAAGGTATAATAAAGTCAAGCTTATTGTCAGTGGATAATGAAAAAGTTTTCATTGATACTTTTTCCAGTGTTCTATTAAAAGACTTTTTAATATGTTAGAGGAACTTTTCATTACACATAATATCTCAGTATTTTTCTTTTTTGGGGGGGGTCCGGTTGTGGGGCCTGAACTCTAGGCCTGAGCACTGTCCCTCAGCTCTTCAGCTCAAAGCTAGCGCTCTACCACTTGAGTCACAGCGCCACTTCCGGCTTTTTTTTTCTTTTTGCTTATGTGGTGCTGAGGAATCGAACCCAGGGCCTCAGGCATGCAAGGCAAACGCTCTATCACTGAGCCAACTTCCCAGACCTTATCTCAGTATTTTTCTAACCTAGATTATTTTAAAAATATAGAGAGGTAATAATCTAGAGAGAGGATCTTAAGAAAATAAAATGGGAATAGCAAAATGTCTTTTAAGAGTTTTTTTTTTCTCTAATAGGAAGTGAATTTAATTTTTTCAGTTAGAATAATTACTTCTAGCTCTGGGAAAGGCAAAACATGCCCAGTCCACCACCACTTTTAAGAATGATCATGGTGACAGATCTCTTTCTCATTGGAGAAAAATGAGAATCTCTAAAGCCACTTCTGCAAGTTGCCACCTGTATCTATTTAAAATTCCTACTGAATCTTGGCACATTTAAGATGTATCTTTCATTCTTAATGCTTCCTATAGTATTATATTACATATTCCTCTCCAACCTTAGATCACACTATACTTTAATGGGACTTAAACATCCAGTAGAATCTTCTTAGGAAGTGATTAAAAATGGAAGGAACCAAACCAGGCTAATTCATACATTTGTTTTCCCTTCTTTCCTTCCTGATCTGAGTACCACTTTGCCTCTATCCCAACACTTCTGCCTCTCACCTCTTTTAATACAAAGACATCTCCCTCCAGAAAGTCTTATTCTTTGAAATGTTTTTTATAACAAATTTCTTCCTTTTATTTAAGTGATCTCATGTTAAAAAAAAAAAACAAGGGAAGGCTAAAATTTTAAACTGAGTTTCTTTTTTCTCTTCATATTAGTGTTTGCAAAACAAAGTACCCCAAAGTTTAACATCTTAAAACAATGAACATTTATCACCTTATATGATTTCTGTATATTAGAATTAAAGAAGCAAATTAACTGATTATTTCTGGTTAAAGGATCTTTCATGAGATAGCAGTCAAAAGAAATTGGCTGAACCTGTTGTTTTCCCATCTGGCTTGAAGTATTTCTTCGCCAGGTGGCCCACTCATGTGCTGGCAAGTTGGGGTAAGGCTGCTGACGGAAGGACTCAGCCCACTGCTGTATGGGCTTCTCCTCAGGGCTGCCAAAGCATCTTGCCACTTAGCTGCTGGTATTTCATACGGGGAGTGATGCAGCTCAGTGTAAACCCCTCCTTGTCTTTGGTGCCCTAGTCTCAGAGGTCTGTCAGCCCTGCTTTTTACGAGATGTGAATGGGAGGAGACAATAATCTGTGGAAGCCATCATGTTGGCTGGATATTAAAAAGCCAAAGGTATGCCTATCAATTCACCATCTAATCCCACTCTAAAGAAAGAAATAAGCCAGTAAAAGTTTAAAAAAAGAAAACCAGTGAAGTAATACTTAGAATGGGAAGAAAGTATCAGGTTATCGACCTTACTGAAAACAGTGATTATACTGATAGAAGCACCTTCTTATTCCCACTTATACCTGAAATGTTTCCTTTTCCTACACCCCAGTTATTTTTATAGGTCAGTAGGGAAACTCCATGTTTCACCTTAAATTTTTTATAGTTAGAAGTGCCACCGTGTCATGAAAATGGTAGAGTACTAGCCTTGAGCAAAAAAGCTCAGGAACATTGCCCAGGCCCTGAGATCAAGCCCACAGCCAACAACAACAACAAATAATTATGGTCTATACCAGTTAAGAAGGGTCTGTCCCCAGTTCGGGTGTGCATTTTAATCCCACTAAGTGTGCCCATATTTTGCAACAGTTTTTGGCTGTTACATTGTATGTGAAAGACATGGACTCTATTTACATGTAATATATACCTTACTGGGAAGAGAGACAGAACCTGCAAAACATAATATACATATAACTGTCATAGTATTGGAAATACTGCAGAGAGCAATGTAAAGTGCTTAATTAGTGGAAGTTCCAAGTTTATATGAGGGATGAAGGAAGCCAAATAAGGAAGCCAAAATGCATTCATTTTTACCAAAAATTACTTATAACCTTCTCAGAGTATAAGGACAAAAAAATTTCAACTCATAAAAGTTGAGTTGAGTATGATGGGGAGAAGATCTGTCTCAACAGATCATGACTTTACCAGCGTTTACTGAACAATTAGAGGAAACTCAGGGAAATGTTTAGAATGTGATTTTATGCCAAGAGGTATGGTTGCAGGTGTGTGTGTGTGTGTGTGTGTGTGTGTGTTTAGTATCAGGTGTGTGTGTGTGTGTCTGTGTGTGTGTCTGTGTCTGTGTCTGTGTGTTGTTTAAGTTTCTAATTGCTAAACTCCTATTTTTAAGGCTCCTGAAGAAAGAAACTCTGTTTATCTTAGGGAATTTAACGCGAGTAAATAAGAAATTACTGCTTTAAAGTGCTAAGTGGATGTTGCAAGATCAAATTCTTGATGCTTTCCTGTATCCCATTGGCCTTAACAGTTAGTTAAAAGTAGAGTTACAAAATAATTAGCATACATTTCTTTGCTTCTTATTGAGAAGAGATATATTTTAGAATTAAGAAATTTTTATAAGAAAGTTTAAGTTTTGAGAAGGCAGAGGCTGTCAAACTGAGGACATGTTAACCATACAGGCTTGAGACCACTCCCTGATGTGCATTGCATATTGTGTAGAGCACATGTGGAGAAGTGCTGGCAGAGAGCAAAAAAAAATATGAAAAATTGTGAAAGTATAATACATGGATTAAATACAATAGAAAAAAACAAATGCCAGCTATAAATATGCAAAGCAGTTATCGCCACTCTTAGAAGGCCCTTACTTCCTATGACAGAGAGATGCATTTCTAAGAATGGAGTATTTTTCATTCACCTGCCAAAAATAAAATTAGAGAGAAGCTTGGTGCAGGTGGCTCACACCTATAATCTTAGCTACTCAGGAGGCTGAGATCTGAAGATCATGGTTCAAAGCCTGTCCAAGAAAGAAAGTCCATGAGACTCTTGCTAACCAAAAAGCAGGAAGTGGAGCCTTGGTGCAAACTGATCTTGAGCAAAGAAATTTAAGGACAGTACCCAGCCACTTTAGGTCAAGGCCCAGGAATTTTCTATCATTGCTTACTTTCATTAATATTATTTTTCATTTGAAGATTATTGTTCCCATTCACTCTATACTTCCCTTAATATCCTCTTTTCTATTTTTTCCTTATTTAGAGGCTTTTATAAGCATTTTTACTATGCATTCATATTTGCATATTTATTGATAAATATAAAAGCAGAGATTTAGAAACTATATATGTAGTTAGATTTATTCATTAGCATTGACTGCTAGTCATGTGAGACTCATACAGTGTCTGTATCTAGGTTATTTCTTGTGATTTGGGAGGAGGAGGTGAATATGTGTCTTCCAGTCTTCTATCTAGGAACTGTAGACCTAGATGCCTAGCCATGTTAGAGAACACATTCATTCAGTATTTTGTGTTCAATTGGAAGTCTCTGTAATCCCTAGTCTACTTGTACTTTCTCAGAGAAGACTCCCTTATATAACCTTACCAAGTATAAGTTATTTTGTATTAGAAATTTTTTGTTTTTTAGAAAATTTGATTCCTTTTATCAGTACCTTTCTCACTTACTGTATAGTAGTTTAATATGGTTTGTCTTTTATCTTTTTGTTTGTTTTTTTGTTTTTTTGGGTCCGGTCATGGGGCCTGAACTCTGGGCCTGGGTGCTGTCCCTCAGCTCTTCAGCTCAAGGCTAGCGCTCTACCACTTGAGCCACAGCGCCACTTCTGGCTTTTTTCTTTTTGCTAATGTGGTGCTGAGGAATCGAACCCAGAG